CGTGGGTCTTTCATAGGGTCTAGCCATCTGCACTGTGCACGGTACCTCATCAGCTGTGAAGGGACCCTCCCTAATATCCAAACCGTGTGACCACAGAGAGTGGAAGTCTCAGTAATGAGCTCCCTTGGTGGCCTCAGCAGTTAAGTCCCTAGTTAGGTGGATCTAGGGTGACAGGATCTTATATTAAAACTCGTGTTATAGCTAAAACATGGAAAGAGCCTAAGTGTCCATCAACAGACGAATGGATCAAGAAGATGTGGTTTATCTATACCATGGAATACTACATGGCAATGAGAAACAATGAAATCTGGCCATGTGTAGCAACATGGATGGACCTTGAGGGTGTTATGCTGAGCGAAATAAGTCAGGCAGAGAAGGACAAATACCATATGTTTGCACGTATAGGAGGATTAGGAGGAACTTGACGGAGGACCAAGGGGGAGAAGAAGGGCGGAAATGGTGGGGGAAAGGGAGAGAGGCAAACCATGAGAGACTCTTGAATGCTGACAAAAACTGAGGACTGATGGATGTGGGGGGGAGGGGGGGATGGGCATGAAGGAGGGCACTTTGGGGATGAGCACTGAGTGTTATGTAAAAACTAATTTGACAATAAACTATTTGTAAAAAAAAAAAAAAAAAAAAAAACTCGTGTTGTGATGAGATTTCGGTTTATAAGTTAATTCTCCTCACAGCCACAGAAGGTACAATTTAAAAACTAGCCCACCTCACATAAAATGATGCTCAGTGTCACTCATCATCAGGGAAATACAAATCAAAACCAGACTGAGATACTACCTCACGCCGGTCAGAGTGGCTAAAATGTACAAATCAGGAGACTCTAGATGCTGGCAGGGATATGGGGAAAAGGGCACCCGCAGCCCCTCTGGAAAACAGTGTGGAGGTTCCTCAAAATATTAGCAATAGAATTCTCCTATAACCCAGCAATAGCACTGCTAGGAATTTACCTAAGGGATACAGAAATGCTGATGCATAGGGACACATGTACCCCAATGTTCATAGCAGCACTCTCAACAATAGCCAAAACATGGAAAGAGCTTAAGTGTCCACCAACTGACAAATGGATCAAGAAGATGTGGCTTATATATACAATGGAATACTGCATGGGAATGAGAAAGAATGAAATCTGGCCATTTGTAGCAAGGTGGATGGAACTGGAGGGTATTATGCTAAGTAGCATAAGTTAGGCAGAGAAAGACAGATGCCATATGTTTTCACTCCTATGTGGATCAGGAGAAACTTAACAGAAGACCATGGGGGAGGGGAAGGGGACAAATAGTGGGGGAGAGGGAGGGAGGCAAACCATGAGAGACTCTTAAATACTGAGAACAAGCTGAGGGCTGATACGGGTGGGGGTGAGGGGAGGGGTTGGTGGTGGGCATGAAGGAGGGCACTTGTTGGGATGAGCACTGGGCATTGTATGGAAACCAACTTGACAATAAACTATATTAAAATAAAATAAAAAAGCATACTCTGAATACATTTTTAAAAACTGTAAAAAAATACAAACTAGTCCACCTAACTTTCAATGATTTAGAACTTGTAGTTTTAAAGGGAAAGCAGGAGATTGGTCAGAAATGAGAAGATCAAGCCACAGCTTCCCCATCACTCCTTCAGAAAGTTGCTTTCTTGCTCGTTCTTCCTTGATGGCCTTGATGACACACAGAGCCCAGGTCATTTAAAGGCCAGCAGCTTTTGTGTGACGCCAAATATATATCCGGATGGGAAGTTGGGAAGGGCAAAAAATTGATCAGATGCAGGCAGCCTACTAGTTAAAACAATCAGAAACACGAATTTAGAATTAGAAGCTTTGCTTCCTGCCACCTGCCAATGGCTTGGGATGCAGCTAAGGACTATCAGCCGAGGGTATTCTAAATGTCCTCAAACTCTCTCTCCCTCTGACCCCCTTCTTGTGCTCTACCCCCCCACAATCCCCTCCAATGATACCAGTGGACCAGGACATCTAGTCTTCTGTTACCTGGTGGTCCCTCAGTTTCCAAATTATCCCTTCTGGATCTCCACCTCATCCCACTCCGTGGAAAAATCCAGTTGATAAGGGACAGTCCATCTTAGCTGGTTGTTAAAAGAAAAGTACCCAAGGAAACAGCTTCATACTTCAGCGTGAATAACTGCTTGCGCATGGGTGTTAGGTGTCGCAGGGGTGTTTTGTTTTTGAAAAGTGTAGCTTAGTAACTCACACGGGTGACTGTTATGGAGGAATTTTAAAAGAGGATTTCCCCTCCTCTCTCAGGTTTCCACATATTCATCCAACAGGCATTTCAAAAGCTCCTTGCCTGTGTCAGAGACTGTATTAGGTGCTGGAGTTATAAATATTATGCCTTTAAAGAAAACGGCTGTCAGTGTAGGGGACAGAGAATGGTGATACATTTTGATGGAGGCTATAATAATGACATAATGTGAACATTTATCAGGACTTTCATTATAGGAGATATTAAATGTCCCTTTTGAGTCCGTTGAACTCAGGAGTTTCCAGTTCCACCCGCAAGCATCCTCCACTAGCGGGTAACCTACGGGACAGCAGAGGCCGTTGCCCCTGTGTGTGCTGTGCCTCCCCAGTGCCAAAACCAGACCAGGCAGGTAGAGGCGTTCAGTGACAGGCCCCTGAATGAATGAATGAATGAATGAATGAATGAACCAAGTCCCCAACATGGTGAATATGGATGGGACTACAGTTCCATGGGGAGTGAGGACTTTCCATGGCCTGTGTACACGTGCACGTGTTCAGTCCGCCCCCTCTGTTCTAGCAAAAGCCCCCCTCTCCTGTGGCATCAGCACCTTGCTGTCTGTTAGATTATTTTCATCAGCCTGCCTTTCCTCTCCAGCTCATGTCCCTTTTTTTGCTCCCCTTTGGAGCAAACCTCAAAAGTCGTCTGCACCTGCTACCTCCAAATTCTCGTGAACTCTGTCAAGTTCACGTCAGTCAGCTCTCACTCTGGTCCCCCCACCAAACCTGCTCCCGCAAAGCCCTCCAGTGCCCTCTGTGTTGCAGAGTCAGTGACTCCTAATGCCCTTTCTGCTTCCGTGGTGGCAGTGTTAGATGGGGTGACCTCTCCTTCCTCCTCGCCGCGGCCTCTGCACCTGGTTTCCACTCTGGTGTCGTGTCTAGCTGCTTATTAAACACTCCTTATAGTGTGCTGTCCTCTGCTGCTTCCCTCTTTAATTTTTAATGTTTATTAATTTTTGAGAAGAGAGAGAGAGAGAGCACAAGTGAGGGGAGGGGCAAAGAAAGAGGGAGACACAGAATCTGAAGCAGGCTCCAGGCTCTGAGCTGTCAGCACAGAGCCCGACGTGGGGCTCAAACTCACAAACTGTGAGATCATGACCTGAACTGAAGTCAGACGCTTAACTGACCGAGCCACCCAGGCACCCACCTTCTCTGAGTTCTTGAAGATGGTTTTTTTTTGCAGATGGCCGCATTCAGCCCTACCCCACCTTTTCTCCTGTCGTCCCCAACTCTTTCCATCCCTTTTACTCTTCTCTTCTTTTTCCTTTCTGTACACGCTTTTCAACCTGTAACATGTTACATAGTTTATTTGTCATTGTGTTTATTTTGCATGGATGGCCTGTCCCTCTGCCCCTTGTGGGAGTGTGAGCCCACAAGGGTGGGGGTAATTGTCTGTTCCGTTCACTGCTGTATTCCAAGTGTAGAGATCAGTGCCTGGCACATAATGGGCTCTTAGTAAATAGTTGTTGAATAGTATTTATTATAAGTAGCCATTTATTAGTGAACGTTTTCAGATATGATGATTTTTGTTTCTCTAGATCTCAGATAATGTATACTAGGAAAACAAGGATGCCCTGAATCTATTAGAGGCATCAGGGAAGGTGTCACAGGGAACCTGTAATCAGAGCTGAGTCTAAAGGAGCAGAGGAGAAATTCATGGGATGGAGAAGGGCTGAGGGGAGGGGAGTCCAGGCTGAAGAACCTGTTTCATGCAGGAATGAGTTTGAGGCACGTGGGTTAGGATTGGCATTAGTTCAGTGCAGGTGGGGGGCAGTGACAGGAGAGAGGCTAAAAGACTGCGTAGCCATCTGCAAGATTCAGATTAGCAGAGCCCTACCCCAGCAACAGCAGTGCCCTCCTGACCTGGAAGCCTCCAAGACCTTCCTTCCCTACATTGCTTGGGTGAGGGGGCCGGGGGTAGCTGAGACCTGGGAGCACAGAGGAGCATTTACATTCTTCACTGCCTGGTGTATGCACAGCCTTATGGGGCCTGAGTAACGATGTGTGTAAGAAGCTTCAAAGCAGCGTGGTGATAAGACCTTCGAAGGGGGTGGGGCGGGGGGAGAGAGAGAGAGACAGACAGACAGACAGACAGACTCTCAAGCAGACATGGGGCTTGAGCCCATGACCCCGGGATCATGACCTGAGCCGAAATCAAGAGTCGGATGTTCAACCAACTGAGCCACCCAGGTGCCACGAGAGTGTCCACTTCAAGTGGAGAGATCAGGGAAGACTTCATGGAGGCAGTGACAGTTTGTGTCATTCTTCGTCAAAAATCGGGGGTGGGGTGGAGAAGGAAACTCCACAGCAGGAGTGTGTGGACACTCCTGGATGACAGCCTCTAGATGAGCATCAATCAATGCGAGCAATCTGTTAATTGTATAAGTAACAGTTGTTTCTCAGGCAGCCACAAAACCCAGCCCTAGCAGATGTTGTCAAATGTATCCATTTTGTCCTATAATCTTTAAATAATCTTTTTATAAAGTACCATCTGAAGTAAAGACCTAATCCATCCTCCTTGGTAGGAGGGGAATTATCTTTCTGATGGTATAAAATAATCCTTTTAGGTGACATGAAACCAACTCTCAGCCTAAATCCTTTCTTTTTCCTCCCCCACAGGTGCCATCATTACTGTTAAGAACTGCATTTAAGAAATAAGCAGGAAGACTGGAGGGGTTATTTTGAGCCTCAAATAGTATTAAGTTGGAACCTGAATCTTCTGAAATGACAGCCTGGGTCCTGAGCGGCTGTGCTGAGGATCTTACTTCTCTCCGGTGGACGGGAGCCTCTGTGTCCTGGGTGAGGAGCTAGGGGTCCTGGCCCACTCCCCAGAGGCTCGGCCCTTAGAGGCACTTGGGACAGTGAGAGGTTAGGTGGGGAAAGCGATTCAAGATGGCCTCAGCGAAGAAAGTACTGGCTTTAAGGCATTCTAGAGGTGGTGGCAACAGAGATAATCCACTTACTGATGCTTTCCTTGGAGGGAAAGATGGCTCAGGTGGGGAGGATGACACACAGCTTAGAAACAGAGACCCTTAGTTCAAGATCTAACTTTGCTGTTTACCAATTGTGCAGTTTGGGGATGTCACTGTATTCCTCTTTTATTTTTTTATTGTTATTTTTTTAGTGTTTATTCATTTTAGAGAGACAGACAGACAGAGCTAGAGTGGGGAGGGGTAGAGAGCAAGGGAGACACAGAATCTGAAGCAGGCTCCAGGCTCCAAGCTGTCAGCACAGAGCCTGATGCGGGGCTCGAATCCATGAACCGTGAGATCATGACCTGAGCCGAAGTCGGACGCTTAATTGACGAAGCTGCACAGGCGCCTCTGTATTCCTCTTTTAGAATCTGTAAAACAGGAGCAATGTTAGGAAAGGCCTCTCTTGCAGTACACACGTGGGAGAAAGTTGTAAATGAGGACACCCAGGACAGAGAGCTTAAGAGCCATATGTAATGGCGCAGGTCAATGTGCTGGTGAGGTCTGGAGCTGAGGGCCCTTAAAACCCTGGGGCCCTCTTCCTGTTATACTAAGTAAGCTTCCGTTTTGTGGAATAGCTTGAGGACTGCAGAACTGAAACAAAGAGTTGATTCAACTATCATTTGCATTCTTTTCCTGGTCATATCATGCAGACGAGTGCTCTAGAGTCCCTCCGTTGATTATTCTCTCTCCTTATACTTAATACCATACATCAGTCTAGTCACTGGAACAAGATTTGTTGAGCACATGCCATGTGTCTATCGGGGAAGACATGCTGTATGTAGTACTGGGGACTCAAATAAGAAAGGCTGCCTCTTCTTAAGCAGTGCACAAACCTGTACTGGAAGAGCATATGATACCATGTGATCTTATAAGAGACGTTTGCATCAAGCTCATCATTAGAGCTATTTCTTGTTTTCAGGAGGAGGGTATGGGGGAGTTGGGAGGGGCTCCACAGAGGGAGTGAAGAGAGGGAGTGAAGAGAGCTCTCAGTAGGTGGGTGCTGATGGGAGTGCGTGCATACCTGTGTGTTTGTATGTGTGTGTGTGTTCAGAGACAAGGGGCAAAGGAGGGAAGGGCATTCCATGAGAGGGAGCAGTGAGTGCAAACACATGTTGGATCTGCTGCCCTGTTCAGCGTGGCCAGATGGGGTGAGAGCTCTGGCCTGGCAGACACACTGGGAAGTTGGCTGATGCCAGAACACAGAGGTATCTCATGGCCTCTAAGGAGTTAAACTTTCTCCTGGAGCTCCTTTTAAATCCTTCTAAACAGGGGAGTGACATTATCAGATTTTAGAAAGATAATTCTGGTGGCAGTGTGCGGCACAGATGGGAGGGGGGAGAATTGGAAACGGGGGGAACCCTTTTCTGCAGAGACTGTGATAATCCAGGCAACGGATGATGAGCGCCTGAGTGAGGGCAGGTGCATCGGAATGAGGATGAAGTGGATTAGAGAGGGGTTTAAAAAAGAGAGTCAACCTGGTGACTGATGGGGATTCTGGGGAAGGGAGTGAAGGGGGAGGGGCCAGAAAGCACCTGAGGTGTGTGGTTTGGGCGGCAGGGGCGGATGATGGGGTCATTAATCAGGGACTAGGATGAGGAGGAGGTTGGAGTGAGAGAAGAGGGGACAGCATCAGGAATTCTGCTTTGGGTCTTTTGAGTCCGGAATTCTGGGAAGAGGTGTCCAGTTGGCAGTTGAAAATGGGTTCAAAGTTCAGGAGAGGAGATGTATGTTTTCTCATGACACAAATACTTATTGAGTGTCTGTTATATGTAGGGTGGTCTTCTAGTGTCTGGAGATACAGCAGTGACTGTGACGGACAAGTGTCTCTACTTTCATTCCCAAGGAGGGAAAACAAATAAGAAACTAGTGGACAGATGCAAACTAAGACAGGATAACATGACAAAGACTGCCTGGGGGGAGTACATCAGATGGGGTTCAGGGCAGGCATTTAAGAGGTTAGTATTTGTACCAAGATCTGAATAATGAAGAAGGTCCAGCCATGTGAAGACCTTGGAGGAAAAGCCATCCAGGCAGAGGGAACAGCATATGCAAAGGCTTTGAGGTGAGAACGAACATGGCATGTTCAGGGAAGAGAAAGAAGGCCAGGCTGTTTGGAATGTAGTGGGTAAGGGAACGGAAGGTAAGGCATGAGACTGGTCAGGGTTGGATCGCGCCACAGAATGAATGTCAATCAGATGAGACTAATCTGCATGGTAACAAATCCCCCTCAAGTCTCAATAGTATATAATAGAGAAGTTTACTTATTGCTCACACTACATGTCCATTGTGGGTTGGCTGCAAATTTTCTTTGTTTCAGGACCCAGGTAGACGGGACAGCTCCTACCTGGGACACTATCGGTTTCCTAGTGGAGGGAAAAAAGGATTATCTGAGGGCCTTACAGCTTCTGCATGGAAGTGGATGTGCCACTTGTCTTGGCCCAAGCAAGTTACATAGTCAAAAGTGATGTCATCAGGGGTGGGGATGCATAATCCTTCCACAGAGAGGAGCAGCAGGTGTTGAGATCAACAGTGCTGTCTTCCGCATAGGCTATTAAGGAGGCTACTAAGGAGATTAGATTTTATTTTAAGGACTATAGAAAGCCATTAGGTTTTTAGTTGTTGTTTTGTTGTTGTTGTTGTAGTTTACTTAAGCAGACAGTATTGTTATGGGTTGCCAACGTAGGCTAAAAGGTAGATCAAGAATGGAAATAGGAGTTACGAGAAGCAGGGCGATCTGGGAAAGTATGTGCCAGATACGAGCACGTGGCAAGGGAGCCCCTTTAGGGTAGAGCCCTGGAAAGACTATCAGGACAGGGCCCTGTGACTTGGCCTGTTAGGCTCTCGTGCGTATCAGGCACTAGTGGATGGTCTTTGGACAAGGCCCCCTGGAGTAGCAGTAGTCTGCCCATGATCACAGCATTGCTGTCTGAGTCTCCTAGAGAAAGGTGTGGGTGGTGAAAACGGGAAAAGGAAAATGGCACCTAAATGCTAGTGAGAGTGGACCCTGAACCATAATAGAGGCTTTTGTAAATCAGCCTGGAGGAATCCCACAATGATGGCTTTTGTTCTCTCCTCCCCACACCACATGCCACAGGAAAAGATTCAATCCTTGGTCATGAATCTTTTTTCTATATGGGAAGGAGAGAGAAGGCAGAAGGCAGGATGGGTGGTGTGCTCAAGGATGGTGGGCTCCCAGGGCATTATGCCCCTTCTGCCACCAAGCTGGAGACAAAAGAGAAAGGAAAAAAAAAAAAAAAAAGCAAGACTGACAAAGAGCTCCTAGTGCAGTGTAGACCAGGAGCAGAGCCCCAGCCCACCTGTAGGACGGAGCCGCTCCATCCACAGGTAGTCCAGTCCAAACTACTAAAGTGGTGAGTTTGGATCAGCCTTCCTCTTCTGCGGGGCAGGCTGAGGAGGGGGTGAACGGGGAGCTTCCCTTCCCTCACATGCTGTCTCTTGCCACCTAATCCATCCACTCCAGGAGAGAGAATGGAGAAAGCCAGGCAGAGCAAGAGAACTTTGACATTTTAAGTTCTCCTGCCAAAGCTCCCCCTGCTGGTGGCTCCATTGCAGTTACTCAGCGTGTGTTTGAAACATGCCAGAGGGTCGCAGAAGTGGGGGTGGAGGTGGGGGACACATGGCCAAAATATCCAGGATAACTGACTTTGCTGCCTGGGAGTTTTCTTTGAACATCAAATCTTCACTTCTCTTTTTATAAGAGAATATCACAGCTCTTCAAATAAAATTATAAATGTCTCATGGGCAGAGCCCATAATTTGGACTTGTTTGGACCTTCACCCTTCCCCATAAGTCCAGCACAGGCCAGTCAAAAACAAGTTAAAAACTTCTATGAATGAACAAGTGAGTGACTGAATGATTTCCCTGAAGGCTTACCCAGAAACAACACCTGTGATCCGGCTCTCCCACTTGCCACGGTGTCGGTGATGAACTTCGTGCCCATATTAGAATGCAGGTGGAGAGAAGGAAATTTATTATGCTGTCAGAGAGAGAAAGCAATAATCTAGGCCTTCTGATTCTCTTCCTGCTGGCCGGGCCCCATGGCCAATGGTTAGAGAATGACAACGTGTCTCTGCTTCTTCTAGGTCTCAAGGAACTTCCACAGGCTCAGGCCGTTACCCATGGAACTGGCCAGGGAGAGCCTACCTGTCAAATTGGCTGGAACGTGGCAATATAAACTCCTGGTGAGTCCTTCTGTGACACCCTAGGGCTTTGGTGACAGAGGTAATTAATCAAGACACCAATGTCAAAATTAAAGTGAGGAAGAAAAGTCAATTAGCGATTGAATAGCTATGAGGAGACAGATTTTAATGAGGTTCCCTCTAGTTTGCACTGTTTCTTGCCCCTTCTCGTTAGGCGTGGTCATGCTTCCTTTTTCTGAGGACTGTGGGGGTCAGGAAGAGGGAGGGACGAGGGGTGTCTCTCTATACTCCGGGGTGGATGGGGTGAAAGTTCTCTGTTGTCTACGATATGCCAGGGCTCCATACAGATACAGAATTATTTTCGGCAGGGTGTTCATTTCCATTTGCAGTTTACCTCTTCAGGTCCCCTTCAGAAGGCTTGGCCGGGCTCCCGAGAGGAGACCTGAGCTGAGAGGGGGAGACACAGGCAGGCCAGGAAGGCTGGAGCCTCCAGGGAGGCATCACCTGCCACCAATCCACCCTCCACAGCCTCCTTCAACTCTGTTTGCTTCTACAGGGAGACAGGGAGATTATGATGTTTCACAGGCGTTCCAAACTCTTGTCATGATTAATAAAGGTCTGGCAGGAACCAGAACTGGGATGGCTTCACAGGCTCGGGTGTTGGGGACTCAGGGAGGAAAGATAGGTGTAGCTATTTCTCCAGCTGCCTCAGTGACACCAGGAGCCCTGAGAGCAGCAGAGACCAGACTGAGGGTCTCTGCTTCCTGCACTTACTCAACAGATTTACTGATCTGGGACATGTGGACAGTGTGACTGGTAGTGCAAGGTCAAGGGACAGGAAGTGGAGCATGAATAGCTAGATGAAATGCCGTGGGGGAAGCTTCTGGCCTGGGGGACTGCTGCATTTCCCTGACCTTGACTTGGGCCAGGATTGGGCCCAGAGCTTTAGGAGGGCTTGAGCCTGAAACTGGGATCTAAGTTTATCATTTCTTTTTATCACAAATAATACCTGTTCACTGTAGGGACAGCAGACAAGGAAAACGAAGTTTGACATTATCTTACCACCCAGAGACTAACCGTTGCTCGTCTTTTCAGATGTTTTCCAAGTAAATGTATTTAATGTTTTACATTAATCAACATAACGTTTAGCTGTATATCATCATTCCATCTGGTAGGCATAAGTATTTAGGTCTTTGGAAAGGCCTATCCCGTTTGTTATTTTCACAAATCAAAATCCAGTCACATTTACTTTCTAAAAATTAAAAACTATCAGGTAAGACTGAGGTCCTTTTATATAGAGGAAAAATTATGAAAGTGTAATCATGGGTTTCTTGTGCAATAAAAAGAATTTAAACAAAGAAAATGGTAGAAAGACATAAACGATAAGAGAATAACTGGAGAAAAATAACTTGTTCTTAGACAGAAAAATTCAATATTACAAAAATATCAAGAAAAAAGGAAAGCTGGGGCACCTGGGTGGCTCAGTCAGTTAAGTGTCCGACTTTGGCTCAGGTCATGATCTCATAGTCCTTGGGTTTGAGCCCCGCGTTGGGCTCTGGGCTGACAGCTCAGAGCCTGGAGCCTGCTTCAAATTCTGTGTGTGTCTCTCTCTCTGCCCCTCCCTCGCTCGCTCTCTGTCTCTGTCTCTCAAAATAAAATAAAGGCATTAAAAAAAAGGAAAGCTAAAAAATTGAAAACATATTATTATTATTTTTTTTTTTTGAGAGAGTGCATGAGGGATAGAGGGAAAGAGAATCTTAAGCAGGCTCCACACCTAGTTTGGAGCCCGACGTGGGGTTCAGTCGCATGACTGTGAGATCATGATGAGCTGAAATCAAGAGTCGAATGTTTAACCAACTGAGCCACCCAGTCACCCCATGCAAACATTTTATTTTTTTACTCAGAGTTTTTAATGTTTATTTTTAAGTGAGAGAGAGAGAGAGCAAGCACAGGAGGAACAGAAAGAGAGGGAGACAGAGAATCCAAAGCAGGCTCCCCGATGTCAGTGCAGAGTCTGATGTGGGGCTTGAACCCACAAACCGTGAGATCATGACCTATGCCAAAGTCAGATGCTCAACCAGCTGAGCCACCCAAGCGGCCCATCCATGCAGACATTTTAGAGGAAAGAAAATATCAAGATGCAGATAACCAAGCTGAAAAGAGAAAATACTTCTACAGGCCCAGCATACAGGCCCAATGATAATGACTTATCATTATAGTTTTTTTCTTTCTAGTGCTTTTCTCATGTATGGTTTTTTTTTTAAATTTTTTTTTTTAATTTATTTCTAGGAGAGAGAGAGAGAGAGACAGTGTGAGCAAGGGAGGGTCAGAGAGAGAGGGAGTCACAGACTGAAACAGGCTCCAGGCTCTGAGCTGGCTGTCAGCACAGAGCCCAATGCGGGGCTCGAACCCACAAACCGCGAGATCATGACCTAAGCAAAAGTCGGACGCTTAGCCGACTAAGCCACCCAGGCGCCCCTCGTGTATGTTTTTTCAAGGATGTGAAGGCTTACAGCATAAACATGTCTTTAGCTTGTTTTGTAATCATGATAATATGATTTTCATGGCTAAAAATATTGCATCAAGCATATTTATTGCACATTGTTTAATTATTATCTAGCATTGGATTTTGAAGCACTTCAGAGTACCCTATTACAAAAATACAATGGTTAACATTTTTGTGCATGTCACTTTTTATTATTTTGAATTTTCTGAGGAGTGTATTTGCCTAAATGAAATTGTTAAAACATTTGGACTTTCAGGGCACCTGGTGGCTCAGTCGGTTAAGCATCTGGCTTTGGCTCAGGTTATGACCTCATAGTTCGTGAGTTCAAGCCCCCTGTCCAGCTCTGTGCTGACAGCTCAGAGCCTGGAGCCCACTTTGGATTCTGTGTCTCCCTCTCTCTCTGACCCTCCCCCACTTGTTCTCTGGGCCTCTCTCTTTCTCTCAAAATAAACATTAAAAATTTAAAATGTTTGGACTTTTAATATTTTAAATATTAAGATAAAATTTAATATTTAAAGTTTGGACTTCATTAATATTCCAAAATTTGCTTTCCAAAATGATTGTCCACTTTACAGGAGTATAGGTTTCATTACTCCCTCAGCAGCCTAAGATAGTATTAAAATTTTTTTTATTGAGGTGTAAGTTGTATGAGATGTCCATATTTTAAGATATCAGTTTGATGAGTTTTGACAATTATATATTTTTAAAACCACCTCCCCCCACAATTATAGAATATTTTCATTGCTTAAGAAAATTTTTTTGCCTATGCTGGACTTCACAAAAACAAAAATGATAACAAAGAATTATATATGCTCTAAACTGTATTAATCCATTGTTACAATTTTTTTGTTTTAAGTAGAATTAGTGGTCTTTTAAAGAATTAATGACATGCCCATTTGGTTCCTTTTTTTATAGTCATCATCTCTCTCCAAATTCCCCATTTGTTCACGTGTACTTACTCTGTTTATTTCACTGTCACTATCTAGACAGTTCTAACATCTGAGCCATCTCTGGGTCTTTTTCTATTTACGCTTCCTCCTTGGGCCCTATCACATTGGCTTGTATCTTATGGTCTTCTTAATTCCTTATTTATGTTTGGCACTGTGTGTAAGAAATCACTAGAGACTGAGGTAAAGAGTATTTACCCACCGGAAAGGTTGTGTGCCTTCCATTAGTCTGCTAATGTGAGGGGCGGAGACAAATGAAGCCGCTCTCTGAGCAGGACATGGATTGGTTGCAGCTTTAGTCTGATTCAGTTCGCCACTGGCTAACAAAGTTTTGAGGATGGTACCAAGGCTCTCTTCATGAGGGCTTGGGCTCTGAGCAACAGTGAGACTCAAGAGATCTTTTTGTGCTTCCCAGTTCTGTTGCTGGCTCTCTGAAGCACAGGAGGCTTTCTGTCTTTCTGCTTTGCAGCCAGCTGTGGCCGTGAGCATTAGGTCTTTCCCCCAGGTTTCTGCAACTTGAGAGACCTCTCTTCATCCTCTGCCCTGCTCCAGGTCTTAGGGAGGCCACTGTGCTGCACTTGGTGGAGACCCTGACTCCCTTGAAGGGGTTTCTCAGCCGTCCATCTTACTCCCAGTCTTTAGGAAGTCATTGGGGAAGATCTTGCGTGCCTCAAGGGAATATTCTCAGTTCTATCTTGCCCTTTGCCTTTGGTCTATTACCTATGTACTTGATGAATACCTCTATGAAAGCTTTGGCATGCGGATGGGTGTACACTTGCTCTATGACCGGGGCTGTTGGAAGGCTAATATGTCACACGAGCTCACACATACCCGTTACATGTTACAAGTTGGGCTGATATTTTTTTACCTGAGTTTATGGCAGATAGCTCTCCTACCTGTCACTTTGTAGATAGAAGCAGCTGTGTGTCTCTTCTGTCTTAGGAAGAGCTTGCCATTTCTGGAATCTGGTTTATTTGGGTTTCTTTGCATCCTGAGCACTCTAGTGATTTTTAAAACCATGATTTTGAGGCTTGCTTGGCTGGTTCTCAGTGCTAGGGCAGGTTCAAGAGTCATTTGTGGCTTTCAACATCCTAGCCAGAAACAGAAGTCCCAGAGGGATTATTTTTCAGTTCATGCTAACTTCAGAGAGGGAAATGGGAACTCCGCGCTTTAATTTATCTTTTTTTATTCTCTGGGAGCTGAACATCTCAAACCCTTGTTTCCTCATCACATCACTTCTTTTGTGAGTGCCTTTTGCTCTATCTTTTAGTGTCTTAATTTGTTTCTGACCCGTATACAGAGGTCTTAAATACTAAATACGGTGCCTCTGTTACATTTGTTGCAGTATTTTTTTTGTCTGCCATTTGCTTTTATGGGTTACATTTTATTTTGTGGTCAAACTTATGGATCTTCCTCTTTTTTTCTTTTTTCCTCCTTGTGTTGCTTTGGAGCCTATAAAGTTATCTTTCCTTTAGACATTTGGAAAATATTCAATTCTATTTTTCTGAGATTCTGATGTTTAAAAAAACCCACATTTGACTCTTCCACTCAATTGGAATTTATTTTAGTGCATAATATAAAGCGAGATT